GATTCACAATACCAAATTCGTAACAGATTGTGGTATAAAGGATAATTCTAATTAACTAATATACATTCATTCATTCATCAAAAACTTAACAAAGAATCTACTTTGTGCAAGCATTATTCTAAGGAACTAGGGACACAGTTGTGATTAACAATTTCCTGTCCTCACAGCTATAGTCTCTGTGGAATATAACATAGAATGTATGTTTCCAGTGAGTAAAATATTTGTTTGCTGTCCAGAGCATTTCCTTCCCAGCACAAAGGAACCAAGGATTTTAAGTCAGCAGTCAAAATGCTATTTGGCGAATGATCAGAAAAAAGGGATGGTATTAAGACCCATTTCATTCAGGCCACAAGTAAAGCCCGAGCTTATCTTCACTCTAGAACAAGTACACCTCTCTAATGACTAGCTTTTAACCACGTTCTTTGGATTCATAGTTTCTCTATCCTGAACACTGCTGAATGGAATAAGCCATCCTGGCTTATTTTTCTCTTTCTGGGTTACAGGTAAACCATTTCTAACACATAACACATTCTTTCAGGCAGATTATAATACAATTGAGTTTCATTTTGTTAGCTTCAGTCATTTTTACTATATATGATCAAATAAAGGCTCCAACATCACCTATTTCATTGTAAGCAATCATAATGTAATTTTGGGGACTAATGGGTTTTCAACCATTAATTCGACAAATATTTCCCAAATATTTACTTAATTAATTTATATATATATTTTAAGACGGAGTCTCACTCTGTCACCCAGGCTGGAGTGCAGTGGCTTAACGTCTGCTCACTGCAACCTCTGCCTCCTGGGCTCAAGCAATTCTCTTGCCTCATCTCTCCCGAGCAGCTGGGATCACAGGCGCCCACCACCTTGCCCAGCTAATTTTTATATTTTTAGTAGTCACAGGGTTTCACCATGTTGGCCAGGCTGGTCTCGAACTCCTGACCTCAGGTGATCCACCCACCTCGGCCTCCCAAAGTGCTGGGATTACAGGTGTGAGCTACCATGCCTGGCCACCAAATATTTATTAAGTGCCTATGATAAGCCAGGCACTCTGCTAGGTTCTGGGAATATAAGAGTTAACAAGATAGATTTTTGCACCTATGTTAAAGAAATCTACATATATTATAGTAGTGAAATGAGATTAAGAAAATTTTAAGTCAGCTGGGCAAGGTGGCTCATGCCTGTAATCCCAGCACTTTGGGAGGCCAAGGCAGGTGGGATCACGAGGTTAGGAGATCAGGACCATCCTGGCTAACATTATGAAACCCCATCTCTACTAAAAATGCAACAACAACAACAAAAATTAGCCAGGCATCCCCACAGTCCCACTCATTCAGGAGGCTGAGGCTGGAAAATCGCTTGAACCAGGGAGGTAGAGGCTGCAGTGAGGTGAGATCATACCACTGCACTGCAGCCTGGGCAACAGAGCAAGGCTTGATCTCAAAAATAAAAAATAAAAAAAATTACAAATATACAACAGAAAAATTAAACTGTGGCAAGTGTTAGGAAGGGATAAGAGAAAATGCTGCAGTATCCCAAAGCTGATGGCAATAACCTGGACCAGGCTAGTGGCAGTGGCAAGAGAAGTTGTATTTGCAATCTATTTTGGACACTGAATTGAAGAAGACAATAGTGAATTGAATGAAGAAGGTGAGGGAAAGGAAGGAATCAAGGCTAACTCCTGGGTTTTGATTTAAGCAACTGGGTAAAGAGCAATATTTCCACAGAAAATCTAGGTATAGTACACATAGAAAATATCAAGTTTCTATGCAGATTATAATCTCTATCTGAATCATGTTTTCTGTAGGTTAAATATTACCCATGAGGATGTGTGACCTTGCTTACTAAATAAAAAGAGCACTAAGAATCATGAGATCTAGGTTCTAGTTCAAATACTGTCACTATTTAACTTTAAGTCACATTCTCTACAAGCCTGCTATTTTATGGGTCAAGTGAAGAGACTGATGAATAGTTCAAAACCAATGAAAACATATAATTAACCATACAATTAAAGGACTATCATCATTAGCTTACTGTTTGACAGCTGGAGATCTCAGATGGTATTAAGCATGGCCCAGAGCGAAGACTCCTGTAGTCTGGTTCTAGATCTCTGTTTTTGTGCGTGTGTGGATTCCATAACTTGGCTTCTGTATTTATAAAACAAAATTACAGTGATTTCTCTCATAGGCATAAGAAGAAAATCCATAAACGTCTATATGCATTGCAGATTCCCGGAGGAAAGAAGTTATAAGAATATAAATAATTATTTGTGTTATGAATAAGTAGGATCAATCTCTCAGAAAACCAGGAAGAGTTTAGCTATCATCGCTTTGTGACTTTTGCCAGGGAATCTTGGCTTTTCCTAGAAAATAAATTACTACCTTGGAGGATGCCTGAAATCTCTGAAGGAAGCCTTCTTGCACATAGCCAGTTCAGGAAGGTTACACCTGGTACCATGCTGTAAGGGAAAAGGAAATCTTTTACAAAAGTGGTCAAGAGTATTTGTTAAACATAGCAGCATTTTCCAAACAGGGAGTGAAGGTACAATGAGGTCTCATTAAAACTTTTTTTTTTCCTTTAAGACTTTCTTAGTCTATCTTTGTTATTGTGAACTAAGTTCCTTGGTGTGATCTGAATAACTTATTTCTTAATTAAAAAAAACCTTTTTTTGTAGAGATGGGTCTGTGTTGCCAAGGCTGGTTTCTAACTCCTGAGCTCAAGCAATCCTCCTACCTCGGCCTCCCAACGTGCTGGGATTACAGAGGTGAGCCACCGTGTCTCACCCACAGATCATTTCATAAGCACCTTTTCTTCACCTGTATCACTTGTCTTCTCCTTTTGTTTTTTTTTCCATTTCATTTATTTTTCCTTTCTCTGTCATTTTCGCAGTTGAACAGTCTTTTCCAAAACTTAGGCCACACTGTTTCCCTCTGTTCTCTTCAAGGCCTCCTTACAATGATTTGAGACTGTCATGTACCAAATGTTTTTCTCTCAAAGATCCAAAAAATGGTGTACACCAGTGGTTCTCAAACGGGTGGTTCTGTCCCTCCCAGGGGATATTTGGTAGTGTCTGAAGACATTTTTGGTTGTCAGGACTAGGGGAAGGACGCAACTGGCATCTATCGTATAGAGGCTGGGATGCTGCTAAACATCTTACAATGCACAGAACATCCCACAACAAAGAATTATGTAGGCTGACAAAGAATTGTCTGCCAATGGCAATAATGCTACCATTGAATAACTATGATATGCACAAATATCAGCAGCTGAAAAAGACTAAGGTTTGGTGGCACCAGTCCAGGCTCCTTAGGGAATTCAGATTCTCAAGGTGGTAAACTGGCAGCCATTGGCATCAGATTGTCTGGACTTGGATTCCCAGGTTCCCCGTTTTGCTGGCTATATATGGCTTCTGACTAATTACTCAGTGTCACAAAAGCAGTCTCACCTGGAAAAAAGGGCTAATAAAGCATCCATCTCACTAAGACATAAGCTCCTTGAAAGCAAGGAACTGCCATCCTTAGATTAGGGACTGGTATCCAGTAGAAAGTACTAGGTGTCTGTGGATTATTTTACAGTTGGTGTTGAGGCCTCAGCCTCCCTGAGTAGCTGGGATTACAGACGTGAGCCACCCAGCCTGGCCGATAATTCTTACATAATAAGAAAGTAGGGCGTGGTGGATCAGTCCTGTAATCCCAGCACTTTGGGAGGTCAAGGTGGGCAGATCACCTGAGGTCAGGAGTTCAAGACCTGAAGAACTGAACATGTGCTGCCCTGTTGAACACTAACAATTTCACAGCATGGCAAAACTCCGTCTCTACTAAAAATACAAAAATTAGCCGGTGTGGTGGTGGGCGCGTATAATTCTAGCTGCTCTGGAGGCTGAGGCAGGAAAATCGCTTGAACTCGGGAGGCAGAGGTTGCAGTAAACCGAGATCGTGTCACTGCATTCCAGCCTGGGCGACAGAGTGAGACTCCGTCTCAAAAACAAACAAAAATAAAGTAGAAACAAGCGAGGCTAAAGCTGCAATTGGTTAAAAAAAAAAAAAAAAGGGATAGAGATAGCATATCTGGTCATTTTTTCTGTGGTTAGCACAATGTTTCTCTTTGTTTATATTCAGACATCGTTGCGAAGTGGTTTTGTTTTTGTTTTGACCCACCGTGGTCACAGAATGGCCTTGTCTGATGTTGGTGTTCTGTGAAATTGTTAGTGTTCAGCAACATCCTAGTTAATAGCGCCAGCTGGCTTCTCGCCATCATGGGCTGCATTTATTTTCACTGTTACACATTCCTTAAACCTTCCCCCACATTACCTAACAGATGCCCAGATCTTTCCAACAGCCTCTTCCCAAGACGTCCCGCTGTTTCCCCACAGTGTACACCTCCTTGCAAAACCATAGCCGCAACTTTGTCCAACTACAGGAGTGTTCTCGACGGTCTTTGGCTCGAGGGCGCTGCCGCAGTCAGAGCTCCCTAAAGGGTGACTGCTGTTGTTAGGTCTCAACGGAAACTACATGGTGCACCCAGAGCGTTCAGACTTCATAAACGAGTATTTTGAGGCTTCCCAACAGCTGCCTCTGGCTTGTTTAATTCTCCTCAGGAGACGCCTTCTCTCCTAAGAGAAAACAGGGAAGATACTTTGGTTTCTGACCTCCCAAGCAGAAAACCAGCCATCAAATTTCCTGTGAAGTAAAAACGGACTCGTGCGCCTCCGCCTCCAACTCAGAATTTCTCAAACACCGGGACGCCCCGGAGGCATGCGGGAAACGAAAGCTCCAGCGGGTTCATATGACTCGGTGTCTAACCCACTACCTTAACCCAGGAGGAATGGCCCCCAATTCACTCTACAAGCAGCGCAGAACATTCCTAAAGGCTGAGGTAATGGTCACCACCAACAACCGAACCTTCTTCCGGCTGCCGCTCGCTCGAACATCACGACACGCAAGCGACAGCGTCTTATAGACTGACTACAAATCCCGGCATGCCTGGCGGCGCGGCGCCGCCTGATAACTCGCGCCACACGAAGCACGCTGGGTTGGTTCTTCTGCGCGCCTGCGTCTGGCGAGCTCTGCGCAGGCGCATTTCCATCGCTTGGAGGAGAGGGCGGGGTGTCGCTCCCTTTCGCTGATGCAAGAGCCTGGTGCGGTGGTAGGAGAGGTATCGGCAGGAGCAGCGCTGCCGCCGGAACCCGGGGCTGACCCGTCTGACTTCCCGTCGGAGCCGAGCCCACTCGAGCCGCAGCCATGTCTGGGGACGAGGTGAGGGCTTGAGACCGGCGCTAGGGCTAAGGACTGAGGCGGGAAGCAGAACCCACTCCAGTGTGGGAGACCGGGCCTGCGGCCTAGCAGCCGGCCGCCGCCATGTGGGGCAGCCGGGCCTAGACAGCCCGGAGCTGCAGAGCCGGCGAGGACTCCGGAGCCGCAGGCTTGGCCGTAGCCGGCTTTCCTCAGGGTGGTGGCGCCGAGGCGGACCACCTGCCGTGGTTGGCATTTCCGGGATGGAGAGCACACGTTGAGTCGCCCTCCTTGAAGGGGCTCGAGTGCCCAGTTAATGCCCCGAATGAGACTGGGGCTGGTGATCCCTGCATTCCTTTCCGCTGGGCACTGCCGCCCCAGCTCGCCTTGCTGGGTGCCGCGAGGAACCTCTCTTGGCTTGATAGAACGCCCTCGTTAAAACTTTCTAGGCTGCCTTGTCGGGGCTGGTATCCCGCCCTTGTTTGTCTTCCTAGCATTGTTTTTTAAAAAGACGATGGGGTGATGGGTTTAGAACGAGAGAAAAATATCCTGCCGCCTCAGGAAGTGACTAGCCTTCCCGGAAAGTTTCCAGGCTAGCCCCCGAGCTTCCCTTAACAGAGGGCTCCCAGCGACGTGAGCGGGAAGTCCGGGCTGTGAAGCTGGCTGGATCTTTTTCTGCCGTGGTGCTTGGGTCTCACCGAATTTCCTCAAATCCCTTTCCCCCAGATTTATTCTAGGTGGTATAACATCTAAAGACTTAAAATGAAGTTGATGTTAAGTACTCGCGGGTGTTGCTTAACATTGGGGGAGGCCCTGCCCGATTTCTTAGGCAGTAGGAAGCCTTGATCACAAGGGCAAAGGAATGGTCGAGAAAGGCCAGTAAATGTGCCCACAGGAAGTGGAATATTCTCTAGTTTGGTTAGAGTTAAGGGGTGAACACTTGACACACTAGTTCATGGAGGGCTGTGAAGACGAAGTTAAGGAATTGAGAATGTATTCTGGAGGGGATTCCAGTCTTTTACTTGGTTCTGACAACAGTCCTGTAAAATAGGTCTGTATGCCCATTTTAGAGATGAAAAAACTGAGGCTCTCTAAGTTGTATAATGCCCATGATCAAATACTAAGTGGCTGAGTCAGTGGTAGGATTCCAGATCTGTGCAATATTGCTTCCGTGTAGATGCCTAGGAGGATCTCAGTAGCTTAGAGAAAATTTGTAAATGGTCCTTAGCAGTTATGATAGACATTGCTCTAGGCTGCTGCATATCAAAAGTTCTGAGAGTGGCAGTATTTCACTCCTATTTTGTTTCTACTTCTTTTTCAAACTTCTCATAACCTTTGGCAGATACTGTACGTACAAGAGTCCATGGGGTGTTACTCTGTGTATGGTCAACTACTAGTAGTTGACACAAGGTAGAAATGGGGCCATCAACATAGTGACTTGGAGGGCTAGAGGGATCATTTCTACCAGTAGGATCAGGTTTTGAAAGAAGGGAAATATGACTATATTACTGATGGATGAACAGAGTTTTGTGTAGCAGAGAAGGCAGAAGCAGCATTTCAGCATAGGACTTTGAAAGTCAATAAAGTATTAAATAGTTTGGTACTTAAGTTAACAGTACGACTTCGTTTTACAGGAAACCAGGGCTGAGGGAGATTAACTTGTCCAAGATCATACAGAAAGTAGGACTAGAACCTTGGTGTTTGGCTTCTTTTCTGCCAGGTAGAAGTTAGGAGTAGAGGGAGAATAGAATAGAATTTGAAGAATAGGGTGTAGGGTCTGGTTCCTCTAGTGCTGTTGACTAGATAAGTGTTCTTAGGCCATTTCTTTTTTTTTTTTTTCTTTTCTTTTTCTTTCTTTTTTTTTGAGATGGGGTTTTCACCATGTTGGCCAGTCTGGTCTCCAACTCCTGACCTTGGGTGATCCGCCCTCCTTGGCCTCCCAAAGTGCTGGGATTACAGGCATGAGCCACCGCACCCGGCCCTTAGGCCCTTTAACTTCTGGCTGCTGTACTGACTTTCCAGGATCAGATGAAAGTCTGTACTTGAAAATGATTTATTAACTGCCAGGGACTTCCAGAATGCAAGTAATCTTGCCTGGTGGGTCAGTCTAGAGGATTAAAGAGGCTACTATTAAAAAAATAATTTTCTGTTTTCTTCATATTTCTGTTTTTTTTTTCTCATAAACTGTACACATTTCTTTTTAAACCTGGTAATTAAGCCAAAAACTCACCAAAACATAACTCTTTTCAACCTAATGGAACTGTGATTTTATTTTATTTTATTTTATTTTTTAGAGACAGGGTCTCATTCTTGTTGCCCAGGCTGGAGTGTGGTGGCGCAATCATAGCTCACTGCAGCCTCTGTCACCTAGGCTCAAGGGATCCTCCTGCCTGAGCCTTGCAAGGAGCTGGGACTACAGGCGCATGTTCTTGCACCCGCTAATTTTTGTTTTTTGTAGAAATGAGGTCTTGCTTTGTTGTCCAAGCTAGTCTTGAACTGCTGGCCTCAAGCAGTCTTCCTGCCTCAGCCTCTCAGCATGGAACCATGATCTTTAAAAAGCAGAATCCTAGAAATATGGCTGCTACCTGGTAAGGGAAAAAAAAAAATCCCCTAATCTATAGGTATTCACTATTTTTCAGACCATTTTTTTTTTTTTTTTGAGACAGAGTTTCACTCTTGTTACCCAGGCTGGAGTGCAATGGCGCGATCTCAGCTCACCACAACCTCCGCCTCCTGGGTTCAGGCAATTCTCCTGCCTCAGCCTCCTGAGTAGCTGTGATTACAGGCACGCGCCACCATGCCCAGCTAATGTTTTGTATTTTTAGTAGAGACGGGGTTTCACCATGTTGATCAGGATGGTCTCAATCTCTTGACCTTGTGATCCACCCGCTTCGGCCTCCCAAAGTGCTGGGATTACAGGCTTGAGTCACCGTGCCCGGCCTCAGACCATTTTTTAAAAGCAGCATTAATATTTAATGCTTGCTTGCTTGCTTACTACTAGGCCCCATTGATAAGGTGTCAGAACACTGATTTTTCATAAAATGTGGTAAGGTGTTTTGGCAAAAAGAAGCTTTAAATTAAAAAAAAAAGTTTTTCGTTCAAAATGGGATGTATGTTGTATAAAGTTTATGAAACACAAAAAAATACAAAGAAAAATTTCAGAATCTAAGTCTCAGCTACTTAGAAGAAGACTTAGGCCAGGATTTTGAGGCTGCAGTGTGCTATAATTATAATTGAGGGTAGCCACCACATTCCAGCCTGGGCAACATAGTGAGACCCCTGTCCCTAAAAAAAAAAAATCTCACAATCCTATCACACAGAGATGGCAACACTTAGCATTTGTTCTGGTCATCCTTGGAGGGAACTTTTAGATCAATGCTTTGCTTCTCTGTGGGTTCTTTTGTGACTCACACCTGCTTCTGGGTATAGTATGACTACAAAGGTGATTTCTTGGGTAAGGTATGATCTATGAGAAGAGACTTCTAATCTGATGAAGCATTTCAGGGTAATTTTAGCTGGTATACCTTTTCTTTGCTCTCTCCAACCAAACGTAAGAAATTGAAAATAGAAAATTTATGCTTTTGAAGGCTTTGTTGTGAACCTAAAATATAACTCAAGTGATTCTGTGATTCTGTAGTTTTCCATAAGTGCACTGTCAACAGCTATTTACTTTTCAAATCCAAACTAGTCTCATAAAAGAAAACCCATTTGGAGTGTGTTCAGCTTATAATTTGCAAGTTAGAGATGAAAGTCTTAAAAAGCCATGATTTTAGTCAAGACTGATATCGGCTTGTTCTTTGGGGAGTTCTGCTTCGGGATCCCCACTCCTTGTTTGTAAACTCCACTTTGCTGGGTGGTATGAATAAAATAAGGCAATGAGTATGTATGTTACATATCCAGACAGTAATTGAGAGAGATGTTATTTCAATGTATGATTCCTATATGTTTATCATCCTTTATAAGGCTACAACCAAACTGTTTACCTGTAGACCAAAATAAGGTTTTTCAGGGGAGAAGAAGGCACTTATGAAGCTGTCCTCTGGTGATATCAGGATCCTTTCCATCTTTGGTCTGCCTTGATGAATAATGTTTAAAAGGCAATTAATATTTTAGGGAACTTGATGCTTGAAAAAATGCAATAAATGGCTTGTAATCCCTTCCAGAACCAAATTTATAGTGTCTAGAGTTTTGTTTGTCCTTTTGCCAAGTCTCCCTATTTCAAGAATGAGGATGAAATGTAGCTAACTTCCCTGTAATACTGATGTACTCCTTGTAGGGTGACCCAGAGCTCAATAGTAGGTCAGCAGTGGGGGACTCTTTCCTCTTTGCTCTTCTGTCTTGGTAGGGACACTTCTTTAAGTTAACCAGATAATTTTCTTCAGACTGACTGCATTTCAGATTTAATTATTTATAGAATTGGATCCTTGTTAAGGGTTGGAAAACACTAACTTTGAAAATGCTTTGCAAATACCATGCTTCTCTGCTGGGCAGGTACAGTAACTATATTACCTTATTACAGACTGTATAAGCCGGGTGTGGTGGCTCAAGCCTGTAATCCCAGCACTTTGGGAGGCCGAGGCGGGTGAATCACAAGGTCGAGAGATCGAGACCATCCTGGTCAACATGGTGAAACCCCGTCTCTACTAAAAATACAAAAAAAATTAGCTGGGCATGGTGGCTTGTGCCTGTAATCCCAGCTACTCAGGAGGCTGAGGCAGGAGAATTGCCTGAACCCAGGAGGCGGAGGTTGCGGTGAGCCGAGATCGCGCCATTGCACTCCAGCCTGGGTAACAAGAGCGAAACTCCGCCTCAAAAAAAAAACAAAAAACAAAAAACAGACTATACCTTGGTTTCAGTCTAGTTTTCTTAATGATCTTGGAACATACATAAGTTTATGTTAGAATCCATTTTGGGAAGTTTTTGAGAGTTTTATACGTTTGGAAAATTAGAGCACCTGAATTGATGAAATTTCAGTGATAGGAATCAAGAGAAAACCATGCTTTGTGAATGGTAAAGTATTATATAAATTACAGTTGCTAATATTTATTTGAATACTTATGTCCCAGGCACTATGGCAAGGGTTTTATATTCACATACTTGTTTAAGCCTCCCAGTAACCTTGTATGGTTTGTCGTTCTGCTGCTTGTCTCCATTTTACATAGGAGGCGTGGAATAACATAAGTACAAGCCATAGTCAGAACTTGAATCCAGTCAGATGGGTTCCAGACTTGTGCTTTTATTTATTTATTTATTTAATTTTGGGTGGTTGTTGATTTTGTTTTTTGATATTTTTATTTATTGTTTATTTATTTATTTTTGAGACGGAGTTTCGCTCTTGTTACCCAGGCTGGAGTGCAATGGCACAATCTCGGCTTACCGCAACCTCCGCCCCCTGAGTTCAGGCAATTCTCCTGCCTCAGCCTCCGGAGTAGCTGGGATTACAGGCACGCACCACCATGCCCAGCTAATTTTTTTGTATTTTTAGTAGAGATGGGGTTTCACCATGTTGACCAGGATGGTCTCGATTTCTTGACCTTGTAATCCACCCGTCTCAGCCTCCCAAAGTGCTGGGATTACAGGTGTGAGCCACTGCGCCCGGCCTGTTTATTTTTTTAAAGACGGGGTTTCACCATATTGGTCAGGGTGGTCTTGAACTCCCGACCTCAGGTGATGCGCCCGTCTTGGCCTCCAAAGTGTTTAGATTACAGGCGTGAGCCACTACACCCGGCTGGCTTTTAAACACTTTACTACTTACACTGTTGACAGCAGATCATTGGGCAAAATGCTGAATTTAAGCATGGTATTAATAGAATGTAGACAGAGATTGGTAAGGGGCTTAGGAAAAAAGTATTTGAGATTTGAATCCAGTTCTGTTTGACTTCAAAGACCCTGTACTTTCTACTCTGTCAGATGTCTGCCCTGTATGTTGTTTAAACTATTATGTCTAAAATAACTTTTCTTTAAGTGATCAGTACAAGCAGATAGTCTACAAATTATAACTTATTCTATAGTGGACATTTAGGTAAAAATAAGATAATTTTGGGGCGGGGCATGGTCCTCACACCTGTAATCCTAACACTAGGAGGCTGAAGCTGGTGGATCATTCGAGCGTAGGAGTTTAAGATCAGCATGGGCAACATGGTAAAACCCTGTCTGCACTAAAAATACAAAAGTTGGTTGGGTGTGGTGGTGTGCATCTGTAATCCCAGCTACTCAGGAAGTTGAGGTAGGAGGATGGTGTGAGTCTGGGAGGTCAAGGTTGGAGTGAGCTGAATCATGCCATGGCACTCCAACCTGGGCAGCAGAGCCAGCCGCAGTGGCTGACGCCTGTAATCCCAGCACTTTGGGAAGCCAAGGCAGATGGATCACGAGGTCAAGAGATTGAGACCATTCTGGTCAACAAGGTGAAACCCCATCTCTACTAAAAATACAAAAAATTAGCTGGGCATGGTGGCACGTGCCTGTAATCCCAGCTACTCAGGAGGCTGAGGCAGGAGAACTGCCTGAACCCAGAAGGCGGAGGTTGCGGTGAGCCGAGATCACGCCATTGCACTCCAGCCTGGGTAACGAGCAAAACTCCAAAAAAAAAAAAGAACCTTTAACATTTCATAAACAAAAAGCAAAGTAAAATGTTTGTAGAGGTTTCTCTTTCTCAGAGATTTGCTATATGAAGAGTTGCTGATGGATTTTCTTTTATTTATTTATTTTTTGAGGCAGAGTCTCACTCTGTTCCCAGGCACCAGGCTGGAGTGCAGTGGCGCAATCTTGGCTCACTGCAACCTCTGCCTCCCGGATTCAAGCAATTCTCTTGCTTCAGCCTCCCGAGTAGCTGGGACTACAGGCGCATGCCACCACGCCCAGCTAATTTTTGTATTTTTAGTAGAGATGGGGATTCACCATGTTGGCCATGATGGTCTCGATCTCTTGACCTCGTGATCCACCCACCTTGGCCTTCCAAAAGTGCTGGGATTACAGGCTCAAACCACCATGCCTGGCCTGGATTTTCTTGAAGATTGTCTGAACTTCGGTAAAGTTAAAATTTTTTGTTTTGTTTTTTCTTTGAGATGGTGTTTTGCTCTTGTTGCTTAGGCTGGAGTGCAATGGTGCGATCTCACTCACTGCAACCTCCGCTTCCCAGGTTCAAGCAGTTCTCCTGCCTCAGCCTCCCAAGTAGCTGGGATTATAGGCATGCGCCACCATGCCTGGCTAATGTTGTATTTTTAGTAGACATGGGGTTTCTCCATGTTGGTCAGGCTGGTCTTGAACTCCTGACCGCAGGCGATCTGCCCACCTCAGCCTCCCAAATGCTGGGATATTGGACATGAGCCATGCACCTGGCCAAAAAAAAAATTATTATTTTTTTTTAAATCAAGTCAAAAGTCTCTCAGGTCTCTCTGTAGCAGCCCCATGTTACCAACCTTGAATTAAATATTTGTACCTCTGGCCAGGTGCAGTGGCTTACACCTATAATTCCATTGCGTTGAGTGGCTGAGGTGAGAGGATTGTTTGCACCTGGCAGTTCGTTAAGACCTGGGACAACTGAGGGGACAACAGGGGGAGACCCAGTGTCTACAAAATAAAAAGCTTAGCTGAGCATGGTGGCACATGCCTGTGGTCGGAGCTACTTGGGGGTTGGGGGGCTAAGATGGTAGGATCACTTGAGCCCAGGAGGTTGAGGCTGCAGTCGGCCGTGATCATGCCACTGTACTCCATCCTGGGTAACAGTGAGACCCTGTCTCAAGAAAGAAAAAAAAAATTTATACCCCACTTGGGTATTATTTTCCTGTATCTATAAAGTAAGAAGCATAGCATAGGTTGCTGCAAAAGTCCCTTCTCTAAATTTCATGGTTTATTCAAATGCCCAAATTTGCTCATGAAACTGAAAGTGAAATCTCTTGTGATACTTTACAAATGTTTCACTTTCCCCTTTCCCCCACCCAGTTTATTTTTTGGTAAACTCCCCTTTGATGTTTTAGTGTATATATACTCTTTTACCTGTAAGAGTATGTATGCCTTTTGAGGATAGAGCATATTTGGAATGTCAGCGTCATTAAAAACAATCACTTAATCCCTTTTTTGTTTTTTTGTCTTCTGAACAGATGATTTTTGATCCTACCATGAGCAAGAAGAAAAAGAAGAAGAAGAAGCCTTTTATGTTAGATGAGGAAGGGGATACCCAAATAGAGGAAACCCAGCCTTCAGAAACAAAAGAAGTGGAGCCAGAGCCAACTGAGGACAAAGATTTGGAAGCTGATGAAGAGGACAGTAGGAAAAAAGGTCAGTGGTTGATGTGAGAGAGTTAACTGTTGTCCTAGAAACCCTGGTTCTATCAATGTTTTGACTTTTGTATATGCAATGACCTCTCAGCCTGCTAAGGTTGTTCCAGTGAAGTCAAGGCCATCAGTAGTCTCTGTGCAGTGGACCTTTTCAGATTTCTGGTAGGCTTGTTGCAGGGAAGGTGCCTTTTCAGATTTCTGATAGGCTTGTTGCAGGGAAGTTGCCATTTAACATGCATTGCAAAGATGATGAAACCTTGCCATTCCAGAACTGGTTTTCCAGTTTAACTGGTCAGGTCTCTTCTCTAACTTGAATGATAGTTGTATTTGAATGTAGGCAGAAAGAAATAGTACTAAGATAGGCAGTTTTGTGTCTTAGCAAGTCTGAAAATGTGTATGAGAGATTAAAATTGTAGCCTTGAGTATTTGGGGTTAGACACCAGCTTTAGTTACTTACCTCTGTGCTGTAACATAGACATAATTTGACTATTAGAGAGAGAAATGATTCTATGAATATTATTTGTGTCTGTTGAATATAACTGTGCTGGGATAGAGATAGTTGACATCCATTGAGCATCTACCCTGTGCTAAGTGTCTTCTACATGTTTAAAACAAACTTGGAAAGTAACTCATTCCTGTTGTCATAAGATAAAATGGATTTGTAAGTAGTTTCTTGAAAAACTTTGTAGCAGAGGGATCCTGAAATATTTCGAGTTTATAACATGGCAGATCAAATGGAAAACTTGAATAGAATCTATTATTACTCAATAACAGTAGATAAAATTTCACTGATACTTGTATTTACTGTGTAGCCTTATTTTAATGGGAAATAATTTGTTAGGCCTTTTGATGCTTAATTGATTCAATAAAATGTTGAGATAGGCAGTAGAATTTAGGTGAACAAGGTGTAGCCTCCTAGTATCTAGTAGGGAGATAGATTAGATAAGCAAGCTGGTAATAAGTACCTCAGTTGGGGTAAGCAGAAGATACTGTCCAAGTACTTTGGGAATACCTAACCCAGTTGTGGGGAAAGATGGATAAGCTTAGAGAAGGCTTTGGTGGAAGTAATTTAACCGAGATCCTATGAGACGGAGTTAAGAGGGCCCAGGGGAAGGTTTGGAGGTGAGGGACCTCACATATATTGCACTAGAACCTGAAAGTAGTTCAGTATGGTTAGAACCAGGGATTGAAGTGTGGGAAGTGAGGAAGGCAAGAAGCAGAAGTAGGAGATAAAGCTGGAGAATTGGAAATTGTTTAGAGTTCTGACTTTGGGAACAATTAGGAGTGGTATGCTCAGATTACTAAATAAATATTCTCAACATGGTCTCCTAACCAGATTGTTCCTATAGATCTTGAGATGACCTACCATTTTGTTTTTCAGAACCATAACTTTTGTGATTGTGGAGGTACTAATTAATAATCTCTCCTGGTGACTTGATTAATTGCTGAAATATGTTTGTGTAACTCATAATGTGATGCCTTGCCTTTTAGCTGTTAATAATTATGCCTTGGTCTTTCTAGATGCTTCTGATGATCTAGATGACTTGAACTTCTTTAATCAAAAGAAAAAGAAGAAAAAAACTAAAAAGATATTTGATATTGATGAAGCTGAAGAAGGTGTAAAGGTAGTATTGCTTTCTTGTTGAAGGTAAAATTTGACCTCTTGCAAGGTTACTAATGGCTGTTTCCCTCCCTTTGACTCATCTCTGACTAGCTTTGCTTTTATTATTAGCACTTAGTTGCCACTGGTAGGGTCATTTTCTTTCTTGAGTGTGTCTGACTAGGTATCTTAAAGGGACTGTGGTTCAAGGAATTTAAATTTAGGTCTTACATATTGTATTGTGTACCATTAAGATGATTAAAAAAAAAAAATCCCTTGTATTTAACCACGCTGAGATTTTTGGCTGCAGAGATATTTCTATGAGTGAGAAATCCTATTGAGCAAATACTCCTTTGGTTCAACTTTTGGTAGCATATTGAATATACACAAAATTCATATATGTACCTCTAAGCAGCAAAGAATGAATGACAGTGGTGGTTGGTAGCTGATGACAATGTGGCCTGTAGGCAAACCAGAGCACTCAGGCCAGTTTTATGGAGTTCTCTGATCTTGCGGATACTTGAGACCCTGTGAATCTTACTACTGAATTGATTTCTAATGCAAATATATGAAAATTCTTTTGGACAGGGAGTAACAGGTGGGCAGGCAGGTGAATATGAGGGAGGGTAGGTGGATGGGTGACAGGGGAAGGAGCTGAAGATCTGTTCTCCCTAGAGTTCCATTTTAAAGACCCTGCCTAGGAATCACTTTAGCAGAATCCACATATCTATTTATAAAACCAAGAATAATAGCAATACACATATACACAGAGAGAGAGAGAGAGAGAACGCACACACAACAGCAAACATACACCAAATGTCTCATTTTGTGCCCTCTAAAAATTTTCTTTGGTAAGTAGTTTATTTGCTCAAACTCAAGTGATTAAGGTATAGCCACATGTAGCAGGAAATGTATACAGTAATTCATTGAGTTTTAGAAATAATGTCATAATTTTATGACTTAGTTAATTCAGTAAATATATATTAGTGATTACAGTGAGTCAAGCATCATGTGCTAATTGCTAGAGTACTGAAATGAGTAAGATACTTTTCCTGTTTGCAGAGATATTTTAGTTCAAGGATAATTTAGAATCCTTGAGAACAAGCTGGTTTGATTTGGATTCTTCTTGTTCTCTCCCTGTTTGAGTATTCTCTTTTCCTTCTTCTATAGAGAAATTGAGAAAAATAATCAGATTATACTGAAAAATGGGATTTAAATATCCTGGATAACAGGGTGACACATAGAGATGTGCCACAGAAAGTCTTGGTTAACAAGGCTTTGTTGGTTGATATCTCCAGTAGCTTTTATTGGGAGATTCGCTCCAAATAAGTGCTTGAATACTGTTTTTGAAGTCAAAACATAAGAGGGCATTACAGGTATCCTGGTCATCAGGCAAGGCATGGACATAATAATTTGTTTTTGAGATCTTGGGGTACTCTGTGACCTGAATTTTCAGACCATCACAGGGCTTATGAAAAGCCTTGAAAAATACTTCTCACGCCTATAGTCCCAGCACTTTGGGAGGCCGAGGCAGGCACATCACCTGAGGTCAGGAGTTCAAGACCAACCTGGCCAACATGGTGAAACCCTGTCTTTACTAAAAATACAAAAATTAGTTGGGTGTGGTGGTATGCAAACCTGTAGTCCCAACTACTCAGGAGGCTAAGGCAGGAGAATTGCTTGGACCCAGCAGGTAGAGGTTGCAGTAAGCCGAGATTGCACCACTGCACTCTAGCTTGGGTGGCAGAGCGAGACTTTGTCTCAAAAAAAGGGAAAAATAGGCCAGGCACAGTAGCTCACACCTGTAATTCCAGCACTTCAGAAGGCCAAGGCAGGTGGATCACCTGAGGTTGGGAGTTCGAGACCAACTTGATCAACATGGAGAAAGCCCGTCTTTACTAAAAACACAAAATTAGCCGGGTGTGGTGGCACATGCCTGTAGTCCCAGCTACTTGGGAGACTGAGGCACGAGAATCACTAACTCGGGAGGTGGAGGTTGTGGTGAGCTGAGATTGCACCATTACACTCCAGCCTGGGCAACAAGAGTGAAACTCCATCTCAAAAAAAGAAAAGGAAAATATTTTTTGCCGTTCTCCGCCTTCTGCTGTGTCTTGGCATCAGTATGGAAGTAGATCTTACTGTAATAAAATAATAGTATAGTGCAAGAAGTTGGCTAGTGTGTGCTAATCTATATTCAGCATTTCTAAGTTCTTATTTATTGACTTAGAAATTAGGTCAGTATCTGGTTTCCTGTTTGTATAGTATGTAGCTAATACTATGGGCAGATTGGTCTTGATAGCCACATATGGCATTAAAACTACAAAGCTGGATTTGGGATCCCAAATCTGAGCTTTGTTTACTCCCAGCTATTCCGACTTTTCTGCTGGTAAGATTTCTGAAATTACTGTAGCTATTCCCCCAGTTCAGCACACATAAAACAGGTATTAATTGTTGAGTAAGGTTGACAGCACATTTCAGGATAGGGAGCTGGATAAGCTGGTAGAAGGAAGGAGAAATTAGAAAGCTGGAAACAGACTGGCCTTTTCTGCTCTTGCGGGATGTTTATGACTCATTTCTAGGTTTTAATATGCCCTGTTTACATCCATGCCTCTAGCAACTGATCTTGGGGTCAGGCTTCGCTGTCTCCATCTATCACTTGATCCTAATTGCCCATGGCTTCTGCCTTTCCCTCTTTGATAATGTCATTTATTGATGCCCAAAGACCACGCCACAGACTGGTGCCAGACTGACTGTGGCATAATAAAAGTAAATATTTGGTCTTTGTGCTCTTGGCTTACAACTCTTAAAATCCTTGGAATCTCCAAAGTGGTAAGAGGGTGTTTGGTGTGATAAGAGGGTCTTTAGTATGCTAATGAGATGACTGGTGGCAGGGGATCCCTAGATAGCTTTAGGATGGGGCTGGTCACCAGAAAGACAAAGCTATGATTAGAGGGTTGGAACTTTTCAGTGGTCCCCCTGACACCTCCAGAGAGGGAATGTCAAGAGATTGAGCTCAGCCACTAGTGGTTAATAATGTAATCAGTGACTGGGCATGGTGGCTTACGCCTGTAATCCCAGCACTTTGGGAGGCTGAGGAGGGCAGATCACAAGGTCAGGAGTTCCAGACCAGCTTGGCCAATATGGTGAAACCCCATCTCTACTAAAAATACAAAAATTAGCCGGGCATGGTGGCTCAAGCCTGTAATCCCAGCACTTTGGGAGGCCGAGACGGGTGGATCACAAGGTCAAGAGATTGAGACCATCCTGGTCAACATGGTGAAACCCCGTCTCTACTAAAAATACAAAAAATATTAGCTGGGCATGGTGGTGTGTGCCTGTAATCCCAGCTACTCAGGAGGCTGAGGCAGGAGAATTGCCTGAACCCAGGAGGCGGAGGTTGCGGTGAGCCGAGATCGCGCCATTGCACTCCAGCCTGGGTAACAAGAGTGAAACTCTGTCTCAAAAAAAAAAAAAAAATTAGCCAGGCATGTTGTCACGTGCCTACTTGGGAGGCTGAGGCAGAAGAATCCCTTGAACCCAGGAGGCAGAGGTTGCAGTGAGCTGAGATCATGCCACTGCACTCCAGCCTGGGCAACAAAGCGACATTCCGTTTCAAGAAAATAATAATAATAACAACAGTGATAGTCATGCCTGTGTAATGAAACCCCGAGACATGGGTTGGGAGAGCTTCCATGCTGGTGAGCACACCAAGGTGCTAGGAAGGGGGTGTACCTGGTGTGGCAGCTCCATGCCTGCCTTCCTTGCCCTACCTCAGCTCACGCCCCCATACCATGACTTATGCATTGCTTATGTTTAGCTGTTTCCTAGTTGTATCCTTTATAATAAACTGGCAATAGTAAGTACTTTCCTGAGTTCTATGAGTCATTTTAGCAAATTATTGACTCTTGGTGGGGAACGTGGGAACTTCCAAGTTTACAGCCATGTTGGACAGAAGCAGGCAGCATGGAGACCCAATAAGTGGTGACTAGCTTGTGAAGTGAGGAGTCTTGTAGAACTGAGCCCTTAAACCTATGAAATCTGATAATTACTCCGGATAGTGTATGTCTGAATTGAACTGGAGGACACCTAATTGGTACTAGAGGGTTGGTGTGGAAAAACACCACATAATTGGTGTCACCTGGAAAAATCTTTCCTAATAACTGTATCAAAAGCACTTACAAATTTCTTTAAAATACTCATGAACTCTGCTCGTGCTGAAGATCATCAATCAGATTTAAATTTGAAGTGTCTCAAGTGATTACTTTTTTTAAGACAGTTTTGCTCTTGTTGTGCAGGCTGGAGTGTAGTGGCGTGATATGGACTCACCGCAACCTCTGCCTCCTGGGTTCAAGTGATTCCTCCTGAGTAGCTGGGATTACAGGCACCGGCCACCACATCCAGCTAAGTTTTGTATTTTTAGTAGAGACAGGGTTTCACCGTGTTGGCCAGGCTGGTCTTGAACTCCTGACCTCAAGTGATCCACCTACCTAGGCCTCCCAAAGTGCTGGGATTACAGGCGTGAGCCAAGGTGCCCAGCCTCTGACATGATTCTGACAGTAGCCTGGTTTGGAAACAAGGACAGTAATTATAAGATCCTAAGGCTGAAGAATAAAGAAATGAAAGAGAAGATCCCACAAATGTCTTGAAGAAGTCACAGTTTAGCAAGGCACGGTGGCTCACGCCTGTATTTCCAGCACTTTGGGAGGCTGAGGCGAGTGGATCTGCTGAGGTCGGGAGTTCGAGACCAACCCAAACAACATGAAGAAACTCCATCTCCGCTAAAATACTTTTAATCCCAGCTACTCGGGAGGCTGACGCAGGAGAATCACTTGAACCCTGGAGACGGAGGTTGCAGTGAGCCAAGATCGTGCCATTGCACTCCAGCCTGGGGAACAAGAGTGAACCTCCGTCTCAAAGAAAGAATTCAAAGTTTAAATGGCAAGAGTCTCTTTGAGCCAGTTTGGTCCATCTCTGACAGGCGTTTTTTATCTGTAACTTCAGTTTAGAATATGTGATTTTTTTCCCCCCTCCAAAATAATGTCAGCTCATGTCATTTTTATAAAAGAACAGGCTGGGTGTGGTGGCTCATGCCTGTAATCCCAGCACTTTGGGAGGCCAGGGCAGCAGGATCTCTTGAGGCCAAGAGTTTGAGACTAGCCTGAGCAACAAAGCAAGACAACCTCCTTGTCTCTGCAGAAAATGTAATAAAATAAAAAGAATAGTCCCAATATCAAATGTTCAGACTCATCTCAATTTCTTAGGATCTTAAGATTGAAAGTGATGTTCAAGAACCAGCTGAACCAGAGGATGACCTTGACATAATGCTTGGCAATAAAAAGAAGAAAAAGAAGAATGTCAAGTTCCCAGATGAGGATGAAATACTAGAGAAAGATGAAGGTAATGCTGAGGACTCAGCTGCCCAATTGTAGGTTACTCAAGCCTTTGGCCTAGTCTCCTTGATGGGGGAGGGGAGTGCTTTAAAAAATTTTTTTCTTGCCCCTTATTTCTATTCCCTGATAATGGAAGCTGAAAGGAAATAGTGTCTAGCTTGATAGTGGCAGTTAAAGAATTTGTCAATTGTGATTACATTAAAAACATACTGATTCAGGCTTGGAAGAATCACTGATTTTTAAATAATTAAAAATTTAAAAATGTTTTGTTTACAATTCTGTTAGTTTTTAAATGCCATAGGGTCTTTAGAGAACTTTAGTCAACAGGTGAGTTTTTATGGATGTCAATGTTTCCTAAGCGCTTAAAACAGTTGGACTCTTTTTCCTCTAGTTATTCTAATGCATTATTTTATCTTCGGTTTGTTAAATTAAGAAACTTTTCAGTGTGTTATCAAACACTCCTAATTAGAGAGGTCTCTATTAAGGGTCTTTTTTTTCTCCTTTCAGATTACAAATGACAGTTTTTTGTTTTTTTTTTAAAGGGGGTCTTTTTTGAAAGTTGTAACATCCCTATTTTTAAGGAAAAGGGTTGTGAGCTTTGGTTTCTTTACGCTTAAGGCTGCTGTGAATGCAGCTGTGGAAGGGAAGATAAATGTCTTTGAAACTTCATTTTTCTAGACCCACTCCCACTTTTGTATTGTAGCAGGGCCCACCCCTCATTCCTAAATCTTTATTATTTACAGCTCTAGAAGATGAAGACAGCAAAAAAGATGATGGCATCTCATTCAGTAATCAGACAGGCCCTGCTTGGGCAGGCTCAGAAAGAGACTACACATATGAGGAGGTAAGACAAAAATCTGTTGTGAAAAGGGGCTAAGCTATTCACTAATGCTCAAGGAAGAGCAAGATAAATCTTCCTTGAATTGAAAGGGACACTGAAGTAATGATTGATGGTGAAACAGATGCACAGAGGTCACACAGCCAGTGCATAGCAATTCCTGGTGTGTACCTGTGGGGCAGCCTGCCCAGAGTGCGGCAGTCATTGTAATACTACTCACTATTCCCACCTGAATTCATGGACTGCTGAGGGTATGCAGCCCTCTAGAAATCAGGAGGGCAGTAGTGACAAAGTAGCTAATTTGGGGCCAGGATAGTCTGGAGTTTACCTGTTTGGGCTTTCCTGAATCTTACTTTTCCATGTGTCATGTAGTTTTCCCATAGAAACAACAGAATGAGTAGTTGTTCATTCGTTTCACTTTGGATAAGGAGTTGCTGAGTATCAATAACGAACCAAATGCTGGCTGGGGATGAATCTCTGTCCTCAAAGAACTGCCAGACTTGTAATGCATGTGTGTATTTAATAAGAAGTGACATATTTGCTGTTAAGCAGTGTGACTTAAAGGGGAACTTTATACTTCTACAGTTACCAAGCATGTTCATGAATACCACTTTATTTTTATAGCTGCTGAATCGAGTGTTCAACATCATGAGGGAAAAGAATCCAGATATGGTTGCTGGGGAGAAAAGGAAATTTGTCATGAAACCTCCACAGGTCGTCCGAGTAGGAACCAAGAAAACTTCTTTTGTCAACTTTACAGATATCTGTAAACTGTGAGTTGGTTAATGGAGTACCTTCATCCCAAATACCAGATTCTCAATGCAGTTTTAAGAATGTTAAATGTCCTTATTGTGGACTTTATTAATAGATGGAAAGAATACACAGGTGTAGGGGCTGAGGGAGTTCACAGTTCAAATCTGTCAGTTGTTTCAATTCATAAGTCTCAGGGCTTTTTTTTTTTTAATTATTAAATATAAGATCTCGCTTTGTCGCTGGAGTGTAGTAGAGTGATCATGGCTCACTGCACCTTCTCTCCTGGGCTTCAGCAATCCTCCTGCCTCAACCTCCCAAGTAGCTGAGACTACAGGTGCACACTACCATGCCCGACTAATTTTTGAGAGTACAGGTGCACACCAGCATGCCTGAACAATTTGTGTGTGTGTAAATGTAAGTCTTAACTGTGTTGCCCAGGAGGGCTCGTTTTATTAGTGCATCCAGAGGCGAGAGAAATCGACTCATGCTGATCCATTGAGGATGGATCTTAACGAGATGTAGTGAAGAGTGAGGAGGCTGAATGTAGTCCTCAGACAGGAGCCTTGGGAGCCCAGGGAGTGGAAAGGCTCATCAGTCAGTCTAGGATAGGCCTGTAAAGCAAGCAGTGAGCTCAGGGAAAGTGGCCGAATTTGGTGTGCCTCTTCCTTGGATGATCATTGCCAGGACACAGTTGATGAGATTGCAGCTTTCTTAATTACTGTCACATTCTATGCCAGAATCAGCCCTAGCTCTGTCTAGGAATGGCTTTTCTCTGAGCTTCTCAGTTGCATGTTTTCAGGCAGGTTCCTTAGGGCGACCAACATTATCTATTTGTTGGTCAGTTTCCTAAGTGATATATGCTTGTCGTAGAAAAAATGGTAAGCACAAAAGAGATAATACTCAAAATTCTACTACCCGGAGATAACCACTTCTTTTCATTACTTACATATATTTAAATAGTTTAAATTTTTTTGCTAATGACAGTAGCAGTATATGCTCATTGTAGAAAAATTAGAAGATAAAGACATGTTAAAGAAAATGAAAAATCATCTGCAAAGTCCACCATTAAGAGGTAGATAATTTATCATAGATTAATATTTTGATGTTTTATGTACTTTTTTTTTTTTTTTTTTTGAGACGGAGTTTCGCTCTTGTTACCCAGGCTGGAGTGCAATGGCGCGATCTCGGCTCACCGCAACCTCCGCCTCCTGAGTAGCTGGGATTATAGGCACGCGCCACCATGCCCAGCTAATTTTTTTTTTTGTATTTTTACTAGAGACGGGGTTTCACCACGTTGACCAGGTTGGTCTCGATCTCTCGACCTTGTGATCCACCCGCCTCGGCCTCCCAAAGTGCTGGGATTACAGGCTTGAGCCACCGCGCCCGGCCGTTTTATGTACTTTTTAAAATAAATTGCTATCATACTGGTTTTTAACCTGTTTTCTCAATATATTGTGAAAGTTTGACTCATGTCATTAGTCTGAATAAGTGTTTTAAATAGCTATACAACATATTCTAACAGTTCCTTAAGTTGGACATGGCTGTTCCCAGGTTTTTATTATCAAGAGGCAAAACTTCACCAACCATCTTTATACATATATCTTTGCAGTAGCTCAGAATAGAGCCTTAAGACAAGATGAAATTGCTGAGTTAAAAGGAATGGATATTTTTATGGCAAATAGTAGCAAATTGCTTTCCAGCAAGGTTGTGCCAGTTCATACTCCTGCCAGCAATGTAGAAGCTTACCTACTTTATTATATTTTTACCAGTTCTCACCAATTGCATTTTGGGGAAAAGTAGCTTAAAAATTGTTACAGTAGCATCTGCTTGTTGGAGTAAGTTCAAACAGTGCCACAGTGTAGATTTAAAAAATGAAAATATTGAATGGCATTGCTGTGTATTTGCGTTTATTTTATATGTGTATGTACATTTTTCTTTTTTTTTTTTTGGATATTGACATCTTTTTAAAAGTAGTATACACCCTTGAATGGATTTATTTAACCACTCCCCTAATTGGTGAATATTTAAGCTGTTTTAATTTTTCTGCTGTTAGCCTTCCATGGAATTTTTCTAGAAATACACTTTTAATGAAAATTTTAAGGAAATACATGTGGATTAACATATATATTTATTAGCTTGTTTGATAACATCCTAGTATCCATCACCTAGGTTTCATATATGTTGAACTTTTGACACATTTGCTTCAGATCTTTTACTTTGTTAAAAAGAGGGTTTTATACTATTTTATGATAGTCTCAAAAACAAAAGAAAAAAGGTGGTTTAATAGTTATAATTAAGGCCACCTTTGTTTCTTTTCCTGATCCCTTTTTCCTTCCTAAAGGAAGTTGTTACTCTCTAACATTGGTGTTTATGTTTTCCATCCTTGTTTCTAGACACTTACTTATATGTATGTAGTCATGAAATGTAATATGGTACTATGGGCATTGAAGTATAAACAAATGGTGTCTGGCTGAGCTCACACCTATAATCCTGGCACTTTGGGAGGCTGTGGCAGGAGGATCATTTGAGGCCAGGAGTTCCATACCAGTCTAGGCAGCATAGGGAGAGCCCATCTCTACACAGAAACGGAATAATTAGCTAGGCATGGTGGCACACACCTATAGTCCTAGCTACTTGGGAGACTGAGACAGAAGCTTAGGAGTTTGAGGTTACCATGAGCTGTGATCACTGAACTCTAGCCTGGGCCACACAGTGAGACCCTGTCTCTTAACAATAAAAAAAAGTGGTGTCATATACTGTGTCTCTGTTTCAAAGTTTAAATAAACTATGCATTGAAATTCACCTAATAGCTAAGTAATCACAGATCAAAATAGTGAACAGAATGATATTTTAGAAGTTTGGTGAGAGTTCCTTGAAAGATAGGATTTATGTATTTGATTTTCTTTTTAGATTACATCGTCAGCCCAAACATCTCCTTGCATTTTTGTTGGCTGAATTGGGTACAAGGTAAGAAACTATATACATTTACATACAGTACTACTGGACATTTCCTAAGAACCTCTCTTGAAAAGGATATATAACATGCTTAGAGAAAACATTCACCTGATTAATTATTAGAGAAACTTTTAGTCCAGGGGAGGAATGAAATCACTTCATTTCTGTGGGAGAGCTTGGCTGTTTAGGAATAGGGGACAGAGCTGACATCTGAACAGGCCTGCTGCTGTAGAACAAGAGGTCCACAGTACTGCCATGTTTAGACTTTCCTGTTACTAATTGAAACTCTTGAGTCTTTTAATGGAGCAAATACTAGATTTTTAGGGGAATCGATTTTCTTAAGTCAGACTTTTTGTTTTCTAAATTGATTAACAGGTTATTGAAGAAATATAGCTAGTGAATTGATGAGTGGCACAGGAGAAACCATTGAAACAGGAATCTGCGATTAAATAGCTAGTTACTTGTCTTTAAGGCTCACCTTTTGAAGGCACTGAGCAAGTCCATTCCTATTCAGGAAGGCCAAGATCTCATGGAGCGCATGCCAATGAGTTTGACTACTATCTGGAAGCCTAATGTCCCTTTAAAAATAAGTAATGTGGAGTAGGTCATGATAATGATGACTAATGCATATTGAGTACCTTTTGTATGCTAAGTGCTTTTTTGAGTGCCATCTCAGTCTTCACAGCACATCTATGAAGTAGAAAGTAATATTCCTGTCTTCACGTTTGGAAACAGGTTTAGTAAAGTGATGTTATAGTTGATCACATAGCTAGTTAGTGGCACAGTCAAGATAGGTACAACTCAGGTCTGTCTGTCCCTGCAGTTTGATCACCTAACAGGCTTTATACCTGTGCCTCACTGGTAGTACAGAGATAATTAAGGTGTTCTCTTCCTACTCTCTTGAAACTTGGGATTTGCTACACTTAATATGGGGTTAAGGAGTAATTTATTTGACCATGGTGGATAGTAGGCTCTGTTATAGAAGAATGGTTTTAAATATAAATTTGTTACCATCATTGCTTATTTATAATTTGCACAAATTAATGAAGGAGCAAAAGCTAGTGTTGTTTTTTTCTGCTTCTTAGAATAATCTACAGGTTTTGTAGAGGTGGGATAAACTATTTTGTGGCCAGTAAACTTATGGCCAGTGGGTTAAATGGGTTGTTGAGAAAACTCCATTTCTTTTGACAGTGAATGACTCCATCCATCTCTACCAAAAACAAAACAAAACAAAACAAAACTAGCAGGGCACAGTGGGGATTGCCTGTAGTCCTAGCTACTTGCTAGGCTTAGTGGGAGGATTGCTTGAGCCTGGGAGAGTGAAGGTGCAGTGAGCCATCATCGTGCCACTGCATTCCAGTCTGGGTGACAGAGTGAGACCCGTCTCATAATTAATTAATTAGATTGTGAGAAACCAGGTAGTATAGCACCAGTCCTAGTTTATCCTATGCTGCTGAACATATTTTAAGTTCATTAAGTATAAAGGTGCTGGAATTTGGTTCCTTTAGTTAAAAATAATAATAATGGAGATATATTTGTTTTCTTTCATAGTGGTTCTATAGATGGTAATAACCAACTTGTAATCAAAGGAAGATTCCAACAGAAACAGATAGAAAATGTCTTAAGAAGATATATCAGTAAGTGTGTAATTAATTTCATTAGATTACCGAAATGTTCTCATCAGGCTGCAGTGTTGTAGGGAGAGCCATCTGATTACAGTGAGAGGGGAAAAGCTGACCATAAAAAGATCAGAAACAAAATGATAGTGAAAGGGAAGTGGCTCTTAACTGCTAACTAGGCTTACAGGGAAGGATTTGGATTTTTTAAGAAAGCCCAGCTGATTGAAGCCTAATGTCTTCATTAGGCTAGTTGATTGTAGGGCTAAAAGCCAAGTCAGAGAAACCTGCCTGTGATTCAGGCCTGGCCTTGGTCCCCTTTTGTTCCTAATTATTTATAATTGGCATATCTGTTAACACATTTGAGTGGCTTTCCTACAGACTGAACCAAGAATAAGCAAGCCGGCTGGCTTCCCTACATCCTGGGGCATTGAGTATTCAACCCATGTTTTAGTACCAGAAGCATCATAGCAGATAGCTTTGTGGTTTTTTTTACCCCTAGAATAGCTAAGCTTCCCTGGTCTGGGTGCCCAGGTAAAGTCTCAAGCCTGGGCTTGTGCAGTTCATTGTAGGAGATGTATTTAAGAGGGCAGAAACTTCTCTACCTCACTGCGGCCTCCAGGTAATTCTGTATGTTGCTTTATTTGCAGAGGAATATGTCACTTGTCACACATGCCGATCACCAGACACAATCCTGCAGAAGGACACGCGACTCTATTTCCTACAGTGCGAAACTTGTCATTCTAGATGTTCTGTTGCCAGTATCAAAACAGGCTTCCAGGCTGTCACGGGCAAGCGAGCACAGCTCCGTGCCAAAGCTAACTAATTTGCTAATCACTGATTTTGCAAAGAGTGTTGTGGAGATGTGGCTGGACAGGTTTGCCATCAGAGTGGATATACCATTGTATTAAAAACAAGATTAAAAAGCTGCCAAGTTCTTTGGCGAATGGTTGGTCTGAAATCCTTGCAAGACGCTGACGCTCAAGCTGTTGACATACTCGTTGCCTACTTTAACAACTGTCAGAGAAACGTGATATGGGGTAAGGAGGTGCTTTTTTAAAATCGTTCATAGACTTCTGTAAAATGCAAGATAAATTAAAGTTATTATAACAGTGATTCTTTCAATTTGGTTTGTCCTTCAGTTTTCTTTTTTATAAAAATTGTCCTTGGTGAATTCAGCAAAAAACCAACCAAATAAAAAGTTTGTGCCTGGGCTCTGACGAAGTGTATCCTTGTCCTGAGAAACTGGACAATGGCAGGCACTTCATCTGGGCAGCCATTTCCCTTCCCCACTTCTCTCGAGATACATAGTTAAAGTAGACACGGATTCCCACGCAAGTGTGGTGGGACCTTGAGACTTGGGGAGGACTGCTGTTTTCAGTGTCCAGGGAATGACTCCATAGATTGGAATTCTTTTCCGTATGTGAGGATGTCCCATATGTGAGGATGGTTGCTACTACCTCACTGCCAAGCCCTCCTCCAGCTGTTACACATGAGGGAATACAAGGTGCTAGGTACCCTGCCCTTCCTCGTTGGCCACTAAGAGGTCTTAGAAACATAACCTGTAACTGTGTCTTGTAACTGGTACACTAAGATCCTAGTTGGGCATCTCTGTTGGTGAGGAATTTGAGGAAGCAATGTGTGTGCGATTCAGGGAACTATTCCCAAGAGGAGTCGTCCAAACAGGGATGCTAGAGGAAGCTTTCCTTTTTCCTAGCCAACTTGTGTTCTGGGTTTGGAAAAAACCCACAAATGCTTTTCTATTTTCTGATTTAAAATAGAAATCAGAATTTTGAATATGACCATGAGAAACCAAGAATTGCTGCTTGTGTGGTGCTCTGCTTCCTGAGGATTTGGCTGGAAGGGGATTCTCCACTGGCACACAGAGGAGAAGGCCACCTTACATGTCTGCTGTGATCTGCCTTGCTCTCACTTGATGAGGATAATGGCATACACACTGCTTCTCACTTTCTTGGTGCCAGACTTTGTACTGAGCAGCCCAGGAGCAGTCACTCAGACCCGAATGTCTTGACCATGTTGTTTTTAATCACTGTGACCTTTAAAGTACAGGCCAAGTGTTGTCAAATACCTTGGCTGAAACAGTGGAGGGTGGTGGGTAAAGCAATAGAGGGTGCTTTCCCTCAACCTGTAGTTCCTCCTGAGGGAACGACACACTGGCTGAGCTGCCACCAACTGCCACGATGAACCCAACTGTTGTTTATGCCCTTATTTTCCTTTTTTTGTATCTATACCCACACGATTCCCAATGTTGGATATTTCTACGTGAATAAAGCAAGGATTGGTGCCTCTTGTGTAATTAGCACTCCATTGCTTTTGTGTATGTATGTGTGTTTTGTTTGCTTGTAGTGGGACCCCTTAGGGGAAGGAATGATACTTTTCAGTTTGGTAACAGGTTGACAAATAGATTGGTGAATTCAACCTGGTTTTCATTCTTGAAGCAGATTCTTAGTACCAATCCAGCCCCTTTAAGGTTGTCCAGTTGAATAACTGACTAAATTGGATTGAAAACCCATGAAAAATGATGGGTTGCTCCATGTTACTCATACATAGTAGCATCAACCTCTTCTGTCTCTACAATTTCTCACCGACTAAAGGAACCTTGCAATGTGATGATAAAGCAAAAGCAATCAAGAGTTTCTGATCAAGAGCCACTTTCTAGTTTTGGAAGGGAACCAGACCATCATTTCCAAAGTGTCTTAGGAAACAATGTTGAAGACTGTTCCTAATTATGCAAAGGAAAGGAAGGGGGTTTTCATGGTAAAGAAAAGTCGAAGTAAGCAGGTTTCATAACTACCTGACAAGTCTTTAATGTGATGATGTGCATTTCTTTTTCCTTTTTTGAGACAGTCTTGCTCTGTTGCTCAGGCTGGAGTGCAGTGGCAAGATCTCAGGTCACTGCAACCTCTGCCTCCCAGGTTCAGGTGATTCTCCTGCCTTAGCCTCCCAAGTAGCTGGGATTACAGGCACCAGCCACCACGCCCAGCTAATTTTTGTGTTTTTAGTGAGGATGGGGTTTCACCATGTTGAGACTTGGGAGGGATGGCTCCATGTTGGCTGGACTGCTCTCGAACTCCTGACCTCAAGTGATCCACCCGCCTTGGCCTCCCAACGTGCTGGGATTATAGGCAAGAGCCGCTGCACCTGGCCAGTGATGCACATTTTCATCAACATGCAGTTGTAGCTCTACTTTTTAGAAAATTTTGATTCCATGCCCCTCACCCTCGCCTACAGAAAACTTTGAAAAGCTTTTCCTGAAGTGTCTACCTGGCTCACTCCCACACTTCCTTGGGTCCCTGCCCAAAATAAGACGGTTTCTCCAGCACGCCATGATGTTCAGTGTTGAGATCAGCCATTTCTTTTGTTCACTCATGTATCCCCAATACTGGGAGTAGGCAATGCCTAGAAAGTTGTAGGTGATAGGTATTTGAGTCAGTTTCCTTAAAGGGAGTATGAAATACACAGAATTTTGTACTACTCTCCTCTCACCTGATAAACATGTTACAGGGTAAGTTTTGCAGAAAAAGTGCTAATGTTATGTGGGGTCCCAGCTATGCATCCGGCCTTCCCCTTCCAGATACTTGGTCTGACAGTGCTGAGGTTTACAATGGAATGGAACATTCAGTTTTGCAATGTGTTCTTAGAAGGGCTTTGTAGCACGTGAGCTGGTCTTTAATTGGGAAGATGAAACTATAACTTAAAATATTAAATTCCCATAATCCTAACACCATGTAATTTTTTAGTATCAAGATTTTTCCATGTTATTACAGGCTTCATTATTTTAAAAGACTATGTAAGAATCCATCCATATTACGCCATAGCTTGTTAAATCAGTACCCTAATGGCAAGTGCTTGCTAATTCTTGATGCCAAGCATGGGTTTTGAACAGTCCACAGTGGCAGTCCTCCAACGCTACTGATTATTATTATCCTGTTTCTCAGCTGTAAAATGGGGAAGGTAATGGTAAGGCAGTATTTCTAACCCAGGCCTGCCTGTCACATAGAACTATTTTCCTTTTATTGGGCTGAATTTCCAGGGTAGAATTTCAGGGTCAGGATTGCCTGAGCTCAGGCCTTCAAGACCAGTCTGGGCAACATGGTGAAACCCCATCTGTACCAAAATTACAAAAAAAAAAACTAGTCAGGTGTGGTGGCACATGCTTGTGGTCTCAGCTACTCAGGAGGCTGAGGTGGGAGGATTGCTTGAGCCTGGGAGGCAGAGGTTGCAGTGAGCAGAGATTGTACCACTGCACTCCAACCTGGATGACTGAGACCTCCCATCTCAAAAAAAAAATGTGTGTGTGTGTGTGTGTACACAGTAATTAGATGGTAAGATCTGTGATGGAAGTAGCACATGGGAGGGCAGTTCTAATTCAGGCCAGGAAAGTTTCTTTGAGCAGGCAACTTCTGAGCTGTGACAAAAGAAAAGGAGGGTTAGCCAGTGGTGGGGAGGGGGAAGACAGACGAGGTAGAGAGAACAGCATGTGATGTGTAAAGGCAAAAGCCAGACAGCACAGGTCTTACCACAATTCCATGTGGCTTGAGACTAGGAGGCAGATTGCAGGAGGGGAGGTGTTGAGAAGGGGGATGGTGATAAAAAGGACAGCCGAGTAGGAAGAGCAGCAAGGAGACTAGTTAGAGATTATTGCCAAAGTCCAAGTAAGATTCAGAAAGCGCCTAAGGTACCAGGGAAAAATTAACACAGAGGGAAAAATTAATAGAGGGAAGAGTGGAGGGGTTGACATGGTAAGTGGGGACTGGACAGGTCCTTGTGGACATCGAAGTACAGTTATGAGATGGGCATCTGTACCCACTCCCCTGGTGTTCTTGAGGGGAGGAAATGAAGAGATGAAGATCATGGAGCTGTGAGTGGAGTCTGAAGCCATGGATGAGGTCATCCAGGGAGCGAGCACAGAGAAAGAAAAGAGGGTAGACAGATGGAGGCATACAGGAAGAGTCAGCAAGGGAAACTGGAGTGCTCAGAGGAGAGCCGGGAGAGACTGTTACCACAAAAACCAAGAGGAATTTGAGTTGTTTATTACGACAGGGTCAGGGAAGGTTTGTATCCTGCCTCTACCTCCTTCAATCTTGGGGGAATTAGTCAATCTTAAATTTCAGTTTCCCAATCGTGAGGAATAAATAATGTAATCTGTGTAAAGAACTTAGAAGGGAACCCAGTAAATGCTACATATATGCACACATGCACGCGTGCGCACACACACACACCCCTCTTTCTGTAGAGCCAAATTCTGCAGAGGTGGAATACAATTAAGAACACAAAGGTGGCTGAGTGCGGTGGCTCACATCTGTAATCCCAGCACTTTGGGAGGCTGAAGCAAGAGGATCGCTTGAGCCCAGGAGTTTGCGAACAGACTGGGCAACATAGGGAAACTCCCATCTCTACAAATTACTTAAAAATTAGCTGCAAAGTCTGAGCACTGTCCAAAGCCTCTACCCTCTACCAAAACCTGGAGCCAAAGCCCAGGGGGAAGCTTCCTTGGAGGCTGTAGACCTGGTTGGTTTGAAACGGAGTTTTCAATAAGGAGTCCAGTGGATCTGCAAACTTTGAAGAATATGTAAAGATGGAGGGAAAACCTAAAACCCTTTCTGACGATGGGGTTGAATTTCCTGTATTGTGGGAAGGCTTCCAGAGGAGAGAACAAGTGATTCAAGAGCAGTTGGAGGGTCTGGGATACTTCTCAGAGGTGGCAACACCACAGCAGCAGCTTTGTGCTGAGCAGCTATTACCCAGGTAGAGAAAGGAGCAGGAAGAGTACGTGCCAGGCCTGGAACAAAGCCTGTTTCTGGGTGCCACCCTCCCACAGCTCCATACCAACAAAACCAGCCTAAGTGGCCACATTTGAATCCCGCAGTTCACTGGACCAGGGTGAGTACTTGTAACCTATGAGTGATTCGAGGAAAAAAGTTGCAATGGCAGTTGATTCTCTCTTGGGAACTTGAACATGGGGACGATGGATCCATTCATTGTTGGGAATAAAGGGGGAAGGAGGTGACATTAGCAGTACACAATGTGCATGTATAAGCTGTGAAGCAGCAGAGGTTTGAAGGAACCCAGCCAACTGTTAGAGAATGAATGTCTAGATGGGTGGCCTAAGACAGGGGCAGACAGGTTGTGTGTATCCTGATGCAAACTTCCTATTGCTTGCTATCACTGGAGTGAAGCTCTATTCCTTGCTACCAAACCTGCCTGGAGTGAAGAACTTGTGTGTTTTGTGAGGCTGAGATGTAGGGTTTGTGGTGGGAGGTGGGGGTGGGGGCAGAAGTGGTAAGAAGAAACAGGAGAGGCCAGAGTAAGCAGGATCTTATACCCCACATTCAGGAGGTGAGATTTTTGTCCTGATGATGAAGAGTCAGTAAAGGGATTTTAGGCATAGAAGACTGCATGGCTGCTGGGAGATGATATAGGGCAGAAGCAGGAGACTGGGAGGCTGGTGGGAGGACAAAGTCCAAGTGAAAAAAAATTAGTGTCCTAAGCCAGAAGAGAGAAGGTAGAATGTGACAGATTCTAGAATCCTTTTAAGAGCTGGGAAAGACCAGACTTAGCAGCTGGGGAAAGATAAGGTCTTAACCTACTATGGAGTAAACCAAGTAGGTCACAACTGCTTGACAATTGAGCAAGATGCTCAAGGGCCAGCATATCCAACCCATCCCAGTGGTCCCACTGACCACTGAGGACACTAAGATCCAGATGGGTCAGTATTAGGAACCCCAGACCGGCTTTTTGGTGGGCAAAAGGGCCAGGATATCTTCCTGAGAAAACACAAACCATCCCATCTCAGAGCAGGTTGGGATCCAATCTCTTTATTGTCAGGGTGCCCTCCCTGTATTCCCCCCCCACCCCGCCCCCGCCAAACCTATAGAAAAACCCCAAGCCTGGGAGTGTCCTGAGGAGAGGAGGCAGAGTGTGGGGAAACCCCTGTGCTCTACCCTCTGGCCTGGACAGTGCAGACAGGGAGGGTTCACGGGGAAGGAGTAGGCCAGTAACTCCACCTGCAGAGGACACGGCACTGGCTGGGATGCGTTGGGGGAGGAGGCGCCTGCTGCCAGCTTTCCTCTGGTACCTGCTGGGGGGTGGCATCCAGGGTTGGGTGCCCGACTTGAGGCCTAGGGCAGTGATGCCCTTCTCCTGCTGGTGGCCATTGCTCCTGTCAGGCTGAGGAAGAGAGAGACAAAGAAGAGACTAAGGCTGAGAGAAAGAGACCCTGGTGCTCTTGATAACAGGAGTAGGGAAGAAAAGGTGGAATGATGCCTGCAGACGGAGAGATTCTTGCACTCTGGCTGTGGCCTCATAATTTCCCGGCCACATAACCTTGGGCAAGTCTCATCCATTCTCTGAACCTCCGTTTCCTCACCTGAGCCCATGTAACTCACCTGTGAATTATTTTAACAAGGTTTAGTAAGCCACAGGAACAAAGAGGTGTGGCAGGATGGCTGGATATGGAAGTTTGTTTGCCTCCCACGGAAAACAAATCAAAAAGTTCCAAGAGGAAGATTACGTATGTCGAATTTTCTAAAGCTGTTCTGGAAGCCTTTGCTGGTGGGATCTTACTACAGCATAAATGTGTCATCTATCCAGACACCTCCCTTTCTCCACCCAAGCCACTCCAAGAGAAAGGGTCAGAGAGTAGGCAGAGCTAGGTTCTGCCTGGCTTTCCTTTAAGGTAGAGCAGAATAGGTGGTGAACAATGGCCAGAGAGTGGGCTTTGAAGCCACTCGCAACTGGGCTGAAATCCAGGCTCCATCAGTTACTACCTTATCTCCCTGCACCCTTTAGTATCTGTTTCCACATCTGTTATATTGGTACAATCATAAGCTTGGGGGATTGAAGATGAAATCAGATAAAGCAGGGGTAGCTCCTGTCACACAGGGCATTTCCCCTCCTGTCACACAGGGCATTTCCCCTAAGCCGGACACATACGGCCCTTCACAATCATTACCCTCTGATGATAAATAAGCAGAGTCCTCTACCACCTAGGAGGGCACTGCAGCGAAAAGAAGGCTCTTGGCCTCACCACATACCAAGGACTGTCACAGCTCTGTAGGGCTAAGGCCATTCCTCTGGTGTGAAACTCTACACCAGGCATCCCCAAACTGCGGCCCCCTGAGGCCATTTATCTGGCCCCCCGCCGCACTTCAGGAAGGGGCACCTCTTTCATTGGTGGTCAGTGAGAGGAGCACAGTATGTGGCGGCCCTCCAATGGTCTGAGGGACAGTGAACTGGCCCCCTGTGTAAAAAGTTTGGGGATGCCTGCTCTACACCCTCAATAACTAGCAGGCCCAGCTACACATCATCTCTTCCATGACCTGGCTTTGTTCTAGTTATCCTGCTCACACTAGGTGGTAACGGATTATATCCTCCTCTACCAGACTAGGAGCTCCTCAAGGGTAAAGAGAGGGAACAGGGCTGAGTGTGCTGAGAGAAGGAACCCTTGGTAAGTGGGACTGGGTAGCCCATCTATGGTACCTGCTTCCTCAGCCTGGCAAGCCCCAGACATGAAGGGATGTAGTGGGATGGCTAGGTATGTGGGGGACTTCGTTCTTGGGCACAGTCACTACTACCTGGCCAGGTATGCTTCATGACACTTCCTGCCCAACCCAGGGAAAAGGCACAACCTCCACTTCACTGCTTCCCCACCCCCTACCCGTCAGGACAGGATCCTTGTACCTGCTTACTGCAAGGCCCCATCGTCCGCGTCTGTGTCCTGGCTGTGTTCCTGATGAGGAGGTAAGAGAGATCACACATCACTCATTGCCAGCTCTGAGTCCTGCCCTGAGCCATTTGTCCAGAAAGATTTCAGGGCCCAGAGAGCATCTAGACGACATAGAAAGAGGCAGAAACAGCCAAGGGGAATGACTGGGACCAGCCAACAAAGCTGGCTTGGGAACTTGGGAGGGTGGTCTGAGGGCCCCACAGAAAAGAGACGGGCCAGTCAACAGAGTTCTGGGAGTGGAGGAGGCCCATTTCTGTCAGAGAGAGCTTGCACTGGAGAAGGCTGAAAGCCTTATAGACTGGTGAGCTCCCCATCTTTGGGGGGAAACCTAAACCTTTTTTTTTTTTTTTTTTTTTTTTTTTGAGACAGAGTTATGCTCTTGTTGCCCAGGCTGGAGTGCAATGGCACGATCTTGGTTCACCACAACCTCTGCCTCTGGGGTTTAAGCGATTCTTCTGCCTCTGCCTCCTGAGTAGCTGGGATTCCAGGCATGTGCCCCCATGCCTGGCTAATTTTGTATTTTTAGTAGAGACAGGGTTTCTCCATGTTGGGCAGGATGGTCTTGAACTTCCGACCTCAGGTGATCTGCCCACCTCGGCCTCCCAAAGTGCTGGGATTACAGGCGTGAGCCACTGCGCCCGGCCCATCTAAGTCTTTGTTAGGGCCTTTATGGACACTGCTATGCCTAAGAAAGTAAAAGGATAAGGCTAGGCTCAAAAGAGAGATGAGATAGGCATAAAGCAGACCTCTTAACTGTCATGGCCATGAGCCTATCTGTTCTCACGACAGAACCCAGTAGGGCTGAAAAAGAGAAAGTGCAGACCCAGTCAGTCAGTCTGGGCTCCAACCCCGGATCAGTCCCTATGAGCTGAAGCCTGAGCACACCACTGAGCCTCTCTGAGCCTTAGTTTCCTCACAGGGTAAAATGTGGGAACATAATACTTGCATCGTACAGGGCTCCCGTTAAGGTTATGTGAAGTTGAGAGTATGGTCCGGGTCTGGTGCTCAATGAGGGTTCATTACGTAAACAAGCAGCAAATGTACAACCAGAATCCCACAAACTCAGGGTTTGGCATACCCTCCCCTCAACATAAGCTGCTTGTCAAATGGCCTCCCAGCTTCAGCCTGAATACTTCTAGTAATAGGCAGAGAGCTCACCCCCTTATGAGACAGCTTGCTTCATGCTTGAGCAGCAATGGCTTTTAGAAAATTCTCATGTGGAGGTGACACCCACCTCCCTGCTGTGGCCTCCCCAAGCCTTCCCAGCCCTGTTCTGAAGCTCTGCAGGCTGTGTGTGTTCCCTTATGTCCAAATCTCCCCTTCTCCAACTCGTGGAAAATGAAGGGCAGAATGTGCCTAGGCTTGGGAGATGTCTGCCCTAGGCATCAGTGGGACTTCTGATGGTGTCTGAGATGGCAAGTGCCCCCTGCTCATTCTTAGAACCCCTGGGAAGGAGAGAAGGGGGAGTTCACAGTGGGGACAAGCAGCTCAGAGGCTGCCCCTTCCCCTGTTGCCCTCCTGAGAGTAGGAGTGCAGTCGAGTCCCAGTCGTGCTCCTATCCAGGCCCTCACCAGCTCTTCCTCACTATGTGTCAGCAGCCCCTCCTCATCGCCGTCGTCTCGAGTCCGTGCTTCTCCCTGGGGCAGGCCTGCCTCAGAAGTCGTGTTCTCTTGGGGGACTGGTGGCCGGCTGCTGCCACTGCTACCACCGCTGCCGCCGCCGCTGCCGCCGCCGCCACCGCCGCCACCACCACCACCACCACTGCCGCCACCACCATCACCCTTCTTCTTGCCATCTTAAAAGGAAGTGGTGGAGGAGAGGGGAATAAAACTCAGCCTGAGACAGCTAGCTGCCTAGGGCAGCACCTTAGCAGAAGTTGGCCTCAGCATGGATCTGCAGGGTCACTCTAGCTCCTCTCTCCCAGGTACTATCCTCCCCATGCTCCGCCCTGTGCCCTGGTCATGGAGGTGGGTGAGACTCCTCAGAGGCTGACCTGGATTGGCCTTTTGCTCCGCAGCGATCTGCTCCAAGCGGCTCAGCAGGGCATCGATATTGGACTTGATCTGTGTCAGCTCTGTCTTGATGGCCTGAAGCTCACTGCTCTTTACTGAAAGCGGAGGGTAGAGAGGGCTGTTACCTAGGAGACTGAAGGCCTGACACCAGCACAAAACCTCAGCCCTGTTCTTTCAACTAGGAAGGCAGTTATTTTTTGTTTTTTTCCCCTGTTTAGGAAAAAGGCCTCACACTTCTGAACCTGGCTATCTTGTCTCCCAATCTCTCAGCTCTGAAAGAAACAGCAGACAGACTGGAGCACAGGTGTGTATGTGTGGTGTGCTCTTCTATGTGCACTTGAGCAAGAACATGTGTCTTTTGCAGTCCGAATTCCTGGGTGCTAAGTCAAGCAGTATGTGTACACCGGAGTTAATACGGAGTAGTGGGCCTGTGTAGACCTGTCCTTATCCTTACTAGAGGAAAGATGGCACCATCTCCTCACTGGGTACCATATCCCAGGACTGGATTCTTTGTGCCCAACCCACCCCCTCCTCCTAAAACATCAGCTGTTTCCTCTTAGAAATGCATGAAAATACTCACTTGGCTGTGTTAGAGCAGCAGAACTGTGGAAGATTTGTTCTTTTATCTATTTTCCAATGTATAAAAATGTGATTCTATTATTTTGCTAATGATAAAAATGCAAATTCCTTAGTGATACAGTCACTTACACTTGATCTTGGCTGAGCTGGTGGTGACGGCTGTGGAGCGGGCAAAGAGCTTGACAGGTATGTTAGTTTTGACACGCCGGACCAAAGGAACTGTGACCCGGGGTCGCTTCACAGGGACTGCCCTGGGCACGGGCACGGGTGACAGACGGCCCCGGTAGTCGAAGAGCCTGTGAGGGCAGATGGGCCAGAGGCTGCAGCATGGCTTGTGGCCACCAGGGGATATTGCAGCTCCAGCTCCAAATGTGTGTGGCTGCTGAGGGGCTGCGAGGCCTGCACTACACACCTCTGCCTGCTCCCACCAAGCCCTGGAGTGAAGAGGAAGGGCTTTCTGGAGCCTGATGGCTGCTGGGATTCTCACTACATCCACCTCGACCAGCCAGGAGAAATAAGGGCAGGCAAGGCAGCAGGTAGTGGTTATACCCCATTCAAAAGAGGAGACATTCCTAGATCCCCCAATACCCAGGCCTGCTCTATTATATGACCTGGTTTCTGCTTGGTCAACTGCCACCTCAACCTCTGCTCAGAGTTTGCAGATCTCGAAGCAGCACAAATCCCCAGCTAGGAATAATAGTGGTATCGGAGTGGGGTCAACTGAGCCTGCCCGAGCCTCAGTTTCCCCATATGCCAAATGAGGACGGCTACCCAAATTCAGTGTCCACCCAAGGGCACAGCATAAAAGAATTCAGTTAAAAAAACACACTTTAAAAGGTGTTAATAGATGAAAGGGTAGGGTACCAAGAACCCCAACTCACGAGCCCATGACCTCAGAGGGGCAAGACTGAACTCTAACCCCTTTCCTGATTCGATCACCTTAATCACCACACCCTTCATGCTCCATTCCAGAGACAAAGGGCAGGGGCCTGGTAGAATATCAAGGTTGGACAGCTTAATCAGAGCCCCCTAGGGCTCCCAGGCTGTGTGCTGCCCCCCAACCAAAGTCATCTCCCAGCCTTCTCCAGGAGGGCTTCTTTTCCAGCTGACCAGGCAGAAACTCAGTAGGCTGAGAAGCAATCTCTCCCATATCTGTTGCTATCACCTTTTTCAGGGAATTGCAGCCCTAGGGGGTATACTTTGGATCAATTTTCCTGATAACAGCCAGAAAATCTGCCATCACTTGGCAAAAGCCCCATTCCTTAGTGCTCCTTTGTTCAGGGAGCCCTCTCTGGAGGTGGTGAGGGCTGCGGATGGAGAATCTCTGGGAATGAATCCAATCCCAGACCCTGCATTTCTGCCCCACCAAGGGGAGGGGACGGCTCTGGCCTTGGTCAGAATCACTGAACCACAGAATCCCAGAGTTGGAGGAACCCGGAGAGATCACTTGGTGCAAGCCCATTTACAAACTGGGAAGGAAATTTGCCCAAGGTCACCTAATCCTTTCAGCGGCAGAGATTAGCACCTACATCTTCTGACTCCCAGGCTAAGGCACTTTTCATACTATAATGACTGTCTCCTGAAACCATCTGGGGGAGTGGGGGGACAACTGATGCTCAGAGGTACTATTCTTCTTGGGCTGCCCGGGGTGGGCTAAGCTATAGGAAGGGAGAGAAGCAGAAGCAGAAGCAGGGAGGAGGAGAGATTTATGTTAGTCCCCACCATGATTTCTACTCAACAATGTGGCTAGTTCTGTTGTAGCTGGAGCCCATAGCCTCAGGGCTAGAGTCTGGGTAGGGCTTGGGAATGGAGGGTGGGCCACAGCCCGTAAGGGACTAATTAGACTTAGAAATGGCTGTTGACCTCTTGTCTCTAAATATAAACCCAAGAGGCTTAGAGCTCTGGGGTTCCTATCAGCTGCCTGGGCACCTCACAGAGGGAAAGACTCAAACTCCCTGCTGAACCACAAGTTCAGCACTGTAATACACAACCAGTGCTCAACCCTGCTGTGTATTACAACTGGTCACATTTATATAGCTCTTGGCTGTACAATCTCCTTGAATCTCACCTGAGGACAAGGAGAAAAAAGGAGTTAGCATGGTAGACAGTGCAGTATGGGGTAGAAGCTCTGGCCTGGCCACCTGCAGAACAGGACCCCAGTCTCGGCTCTGCCACTGACTGGTGGAGCAACCCTGGGCAAATGCCTGGCCATACCTCTGGGCTTTGGTTCTCATTTGGAGAACTGAGTGGACTGCATCAACAATCTCTCAGGACCCTTCCAGCTTGGCTGTTTCACGCCTGGGCACGCCCCTCCCCTGCTCACCTGTCGTAGAAGTCGTCCCGGTAGTAATCATAGTCAAAGATGTAGCCACTGGGGAAACAAAGGGGAGAGGGCTGGAGCTTAGGGACGGCTACTCAGCCCACTCTCCACAGGCCCTTATCTCCAAACACCTCCCCAAGTTCTAGACTCAGCACCTTGTCACAGCAGCATTTACTCCCTCCGTAGAAAAGAGGGAGACATCCCACCCAGACAGACAGACTGCCCCACCTGTATATGGCAGATGCTGCTCTCTTTAGTCCCTTGGGTCTGTCAGGCTTAGGCTCTCCAGCCATGTTGATGTCTGTGTAGGGAGAGAGAAGGCAGAGTTGGAATGCTGGCATGATAGCAGTGTGCCCGCACACATCACCCTCATGTGCACACATAGCAATTCATATGCTTACATGATATACACATAGATTCATGGATTTTGCTTATGTTGCCAACAAAGGTCTTCATACATCTAGTCTTCAAACATTAGACTCTCATCCAGATATCACATGGATATGCCTGTTTACATGTCCACTTTCTGATACATCCATACATGCTCACAAACGTATCACACACAGACACACACACTATGTAGAGTATTCCTATATGCGTTTCCGAATACAGTCATGTAAATGCGTAATACATCAGTTACGTGGGAACACATACATAGAGCCACCCTCACACACACATTTACATATCCAGGTAAGAAAGTCATACACAAGTAACATGTACTCTCAAGTGCGCTCCGTATACACAACTGCCCACATGCAAGAGAGCCAATGCACATTCACATGGATGTTCTATCATACACCTTCATGCCTAGAATAATGCTTAGTGCATGAAAAGGTCTCAATAAATATTTCGTAAATGAATATATGCATATCTGTGATACATTCGAGTATTCTTGAATGTATCTCAAAACGCCCATTCTCTCAAACACATTACACCTATACATACAAAGGTATGCATCCACATATCTCCACATATTCAGTCACATCCATATACTTCTTGTTCAGGAAAAAACATATAGACATCCCTTTTCAAACATACACATATACAAAGAAGTGCACACACACAAATGCTGGACATACTTCAAGACAGACCACTAGAATAGTCGTATCACATGGACATGACACCAAAGCCAAGGGTATTCACTTTGTCTTGTGCTCCCAGCCCCTCCTGCTTGCTCTCAGAAAGGGTTCTAACCTAAGTCATCTGTACCTGGTGTAACAGGCTGTTCTAGGCCACTCTATTCTCTTTCTCTGGAGAATCTGCATTTTAACTGGAGCTGTAAAGCCTGTTACTAAGAAGCTCTGAGAAAGCAGGGACAGGTCAGAAGTGTTTTCCAGAGGCCTCTAAAATTCTTCCGTAAAGGGATTAATTTTATAACTACTGAAAATTTAAACATAGTTTATAAATTGATAAAATCTCAGAGCAGTGGTAGCGGTGAGAGAAACAGAACGGGGTTAAAGAGAATTACATAGTGAGAGCAGCTACTCTAGAGAATACAGTGAAGAGAGGCTTACCCAAGGTCTGCCCGGCCAGCACCCGCCCATTCTCTCCCAGCACAGCTGCCCGGGCATGGCGCTCGTTGGAGTACTGAACAAAGGCATAGCCCTTGTGCACAGAACAGCCAGCCACACGGCCATACTTAGAGAAGATGGTCTCCACATCTGACTTCTTCACCAGAGCTGTGTTGAGGTTTCCAATGAAGACTCGAGAGTTGATGGACTTGGGATCATTCTTGTTGGTTACATTGCTTGCCTGAATCTTCAAGGACATGGTGCCCACCTGAAGAAAGAGAGCCTCTGTGAAACTGGGTCTCTGGGCTGGGCTCAAGGACTGCCCATGGCCCATATCCTGGCTAAAAGAATTGCCTCTTACTTTCCTTAACCCTTACAGCATCCAGCGTACCTGTTTCTGCATCTTATTATGCTGAGCTCATGCCAGGTGCTTTACATACATTCCCTCATTTGGTACTCATATGATATGCAGAACTACAACATTTTACAAGGGAGAAATCTCACATTCAGAGAGGCCACAGGCCACAATGTTAGTGAATGGCAGGGCTGGGATCTGACCCCTGATCTTCTTGACTCTAATTCTTTTGAGTCTACTCCTTTAATGCTCATCTGAAATGTTATCCTATTCAGGATCTAAATTTGAAGATCTTCAATGCAGAAACATCGTCACATGGTAATTGCAAGTGATGTTTACTCTAGATCACCACCGTATGTAGAAAATTTCAGGGTCCAGGCGCCATGGCTCATGCCTGTAATCCCAGCACTTTGGGAGGCTGAGGTGGGTGCAATCACCTGAGGTCAGGAATTCGAGACCAGCCTGGCCAACATGGTGAAGCCCTGTCTCTACTAAAAATACAAAAAATTAGCCAGGTGTGGTGGTAGGCACCTGTAGTCCCAGCTACTCAAGAGGCTGAGGCAGGAAAAAATTGCTTGAACCCGGGAGGTAGAGGTTGCAGTGATCTGAGATCACAGCACTGCACTCCAGTCTGGGCGACAGAGCAAGACTCTGTCTCAAAGAAAAAAAAAGAAAGAAAGAAAGAAAGAAAGAAAAAAGAAAATTACTTAGTCTGATCCAGACACAGACCTAGCTATAACTGTCTGAATTGTACCAGTCATTTTAAAAGACATATGTCAGCTAAGCCTGATATAGTTTGAATTTGTGTCCATACCCAAATCTCATGTCTAATTGTAATCCCCAGTGTTGGAGGTGAGGGCTGGTGGGAGGTGACTGGATCATGGTGACTGAAATCATGGATATCCCCCCGCTTGGTGCTACTCTTGTGACAGTGAGTGAGTGCTCGTGAGATCTGCTTATTTAGAAGTGTACAGCACCTCCCACCATCTCTTTTCCTCCTGCTCTGGCCATGTGAAGATGTGCCTACATCCCCTTCACCTTCCACTATGATTCTAAGTTTCCTACGGCCTCCGGAGAAGCAGAAGCCTGTACAGCCTGCAGAACTGAGTCAATTAGACTTCTTTTCATTATAAATTAACCAGTCTCAGTTATTTCTTTGTAACAGTCCAAGAATGGACTAATACAAAGCATTACCAGGCACTCACTGTGAGCTAAGGTGGCATACAATACTGAATAATCCCAATATCCCACAAGTGAATGTTATTATTACTCATATTTTACTAGAAACTGTACAACAAGTTCATTAACTTACTAGTAATGAGCATGCAAACCCAGGTCAGTCTGTCCCTAAAGTCTACTTCTTTCAACTTTATTGTTTTGCTTCCCAGAGCTAAAGCCAATTTAGATACTACAGAATGTCAGCACATTCACGTAAGAACTGTTTTTAATGAATTTATTTTTTAGTTCCCATATTAATACTAATTCATTCAAATTTGGTTCTGCTTGGCTGAGAGATGAGACTGCACCTACCCTTTGCTCTCTATACTCTGGCCAGGTCTTTTACCCCAAAGGGCTATACAAATTTTTCCCGGTTTACAGCTAGGCATGGGCTCCAAGGGGAAAGGGGAAAACAGAGAAACTCAATTTCAGTAGGAAAAGCCAAAAGTTAAGCCTTGGCATTCACAGTTCCCGGCCCAGTCTCCTGCTCATTGGTATAGGTTGATGCTGCTCCCTTTTGGAACCCTCCTATCTCAATACCCTAACCCTAAGGCCACTTCAGAAGGTGATAAAAGACTCCAAATAGCATATATAAAAACTTTCATCAGTCTGCCAGCCTATTTACCTAATATTTTGGGGAGGGGAGGTTTCTTTTCAGTGACTGGAGAAGATCTATCTTTATCTCTTATCCCACTAGGGGATAAGAGACTGTTTTCTTCTAAATCCTCCTAGCCTGGAAGCTGGAATGTTCTTACCAGCAGGTGGTACTGTTTACAAGGAAATCATAGGCTAGACCTGAGCCCAACTTGGGGGAGAAAACTGCTCCCAGGGTGAACTTAATGGATACATGGGAGTCTGGAGTGCATTATCTTAGATTAAGGAAAAGGGCTGAGAGGGTGCCATCACTGCTACTGATGAAGGGGCTGGTGCCAGCTTTGGAACTGACTTGGAAATAGACTTTTGTTACTCAGTTTACCTTTGGTTCCACTCATCTACATTTATTAAGCAGTGAGGGACACAAAGGTAGTAAGACATTGTGCATATGAAGCAGGAAATACTCAATGCATGTTGTTCCCACGGGCTTGCCATTCCTCACAGTTCTGACAGTCCTTCTCCTACCTGGATGATAAGCCATTCAAGGGTTAATTCTTTGTCTATCCATGGGTATACAAGAAGTTAACAGGGCTCCTGTGTGGGCATCAGATGATTCTCTCCTGGGTGGTTCAGCTCAAAGAGCTATAGTTTTGGCCCAGGGAGAAGCCACTTGCTTTGGCTAAAAGGGAGCCAACCAAGCCTGGGGTATGGATGGAGACAGAAAGAATGACCTCTACTGGGAGCCTCAAACAACACCGAGCAGGAAGCATCTGCTGAACCAGCTATTCCTCCTACTGTGATCAGTACTCACTCCTTGACTGGTGAGCCAAGTTTTTCAGGTTTGGCCCTGCCAGTCTTTTCTCTCATTCCCTGGGGTTTGGAATGATGCACATAAAAGGACTTTGCAGCTGCGGGGCGCGGTGGGTCACGCCTGTAATCCCAGCACTTTGGGAGGCCGAGGCGGGTGGATCACGAGGTCGAGAGATCGAGACCATCCTGGTCAACATGGTGAAACCCCGTCTCTACTAAAAATACAAAACATTAGCTGGGCATGGTGGCGCGTGCCTGTAATCCCAGCTACTCAGGAGGCTGAGGCAGGAGAATTGCCTGAACCCAGGAGGCAGAGGTTGCGGTGAGCCGAGATTGCGCCATTGCACTCCAGCCTGGATAACAAGAGCGAAACTCCGTCTCAAAAAAAAAAAAAAAAAAGGACTTTGCAAACCATAAAGCCCTTTTACAAAACCTTGTAATTACTCTGGCTGACCCCTCTTTATTCCGATACTGCCATCTGCGAGCCCACCCGTTCTAGATGAGGGTAAAGGTTAATGTGGAAAACATTCTGCATAATGCCAAGGAGGGGGAACCAGAAGCCATGGCACATGAAGATCAGTTTTCTGATCTATAGAGCAGAGACTGGGAAGTGTGTGGCTGCATGTGGTTGCTCTGGAGAAATACGCAGTTAAAAGGAGAACTGCCCACCTGTGGCTTGCTCTAGGTATTATACCTCTGAGCTCCTTATCTACACAGCCCCCAATCCACTTTCATGCCCTGCACACTCCTTTGGAAGGCAGGATGGGCAGGATGTGCCACTATGGTGTAGGACTCCCTCAGCCCAAGGAGACAGGTATCTGTGGGGGCATGGACAGGCTTGAGTGACCACACTCTTGATGAGACTCCTCTAAGTGAGGGATAGAGTTGAGAATGGAAATGAAAAGGAGGTGGGGGCCAGACTAGGTCTCCCTGAACTGACAGGTTCAGGTACAGAATCCTAACGAGTCCAAGAATTCTAAATTCAGACCCAGTATTCCAGGTTGTTAGGAACATCACAATTTATTAGCTTCACTCAGAACCTTCAAATGTTTAAACATATGGTACATGGGTCTCTATTTGTACTCTTACTACTCTGCCCTGCAAATGTTATAGGACGGGCCTGACAAAATCTGGGACACAGTTAAGTCCTCAATCAATGTTAGGGAGGGAGTGGTTAAGGATATGTTGCAGAAGATGGTGAGAAGGTCTAGCTGTGGGCTGCCTTAAATTGTCAGGACCACTGGGGCAGAGGTCCCACATACCTTTTTCTAACCTTTGACCCAAACATTCACCTCCACAGATCAACTCAAACCCTCCCACCCAACTCTTGATATGCTTTTCAAGGTTTCTCCCTAGCTTAGAGTAGCAGCCCTAGAAAATACTGATACCCAATTCAGCAGAAGCTGCTTGACTAGGTAAACTACTTCCTGCCCTGGGCCAAGCTCTGCCTCACAGATAAGCTGTGTAATTGAGAGCAAAGGGTCTGCAGCCCCCCGGGGTCCTAAGTTTAGCAATGAGCTGAGAAGAAGTGGGTAGAAAGACTGTTCTTGGTGGTTGGGGGAGGGGTGAGAACCACATTTGTTCCTAAACTTCTGCACTGCCAGATTAGCAGAGACCTGAGTGCACATGGAACTTAGAAATGCTCTCACTCTGAGGAACAGAAGAGAAGGGACTTGACTAGGATGCCACAGTTAGTGAGTAGCAGTCCTAAGATTACCCCATGGACCCTCTGATACTAAGTCTAGGGTCCTTATATTCCATTTTTCATTTTGGACCAGAGAGAGAGAGGTCCCCAGGACAGTGAGGAGCCAAGACAGAGCATCTCAAAAAAATAAATAAATAAAAGCTATTTTGAGAAAACTGGGGACTAGCTCCCCAAATAAGTATCTTCACCTTTACCTGCAAGAGAAACAACTGCTGCATAAAAGCTGGGCCTTTAAGCTAATTAAAACCCACTAGGGACACAGGCTTTGAAATGCAATTTACAGCTCAAAAGGGATGGGCTTGTTTCTCCAGGCTAGTAAGAACAGAAGAAATGTGGCAAAAACAAATTCATTTTTTTCCCAGTTGAAACATTTCAGCTGGAAATTGTTTTTGAACATAGAACAGCCAAGCCTGAACATGGAGAAAAGTGACAGGGCTTTGCAAAGGTAGAAAAGCTCTAAAAGTTACCTCTGAACTTTGGGTAAATAAGACACCCAGAGAGACATCACAGTAAGAACTGCCATTGGCTGGGCACAGTGGCTCACGCCTGTAATCCTAGCATTTTGTGAGGCCAAGTCAGGAGTTCA